GTTCCTGGGGAGCGCGGCCGGCGCGTAAGGCTAACAATCTTACCGCCATCTTTGAGCCGATTGTCTAGATAATGTGGGACCCTCAACGTCTCACAACCCTATGGGCTTTCAGGGCCTGGTACAGGGATAGCTTTACTTTACTTTTATACACTCTTCAGCAGTAACAGGTACTTACGAATTATTCGTCTATTTATTAGTTTTGATTTAAACAATTTATTGACCTCGCTTTTAGAAATTATCATAAAAATTAAAATTTATCATCAGAGTTAGGTGACTCGAAGGCCAAAACTGTCTATATTCTTATTAAGGTAAAGGTAAAGTTGTCCGTGTGCTTGATTATGCCATGAAGATATATGGGGAGTGGAGTTATAGATTTTACAATTTTGACCTCGAAATTTGATGGAGGTGAGTAGTCAGCTTGCCGACTCGGCCCTTTTACCCTGGGAGCGGGATCTCATCCAGTGCCCATTGGATAGAGGGTTGGGTGGGTCCCAGAGCCAGTCTGGACGTTGTGGAGAAGGGAAAAATATTGCCTGTCCCGGGATTTACACTCCGGCCATCCAGCCCGTAGCCCGTCACTATACCGGGTGAGCTATCCCGACTCCAACTAACATAATTTTTAAAGAAAGCAGTCTTCTGGGATTTGGCACCCCACATATACACGGTGCCAAATCCAAGAAGACTGCTTTCTTCATAGTCATCGCCGTGAAAACCTCAAATCTTATAACTTTTAAAGCTTTAATAATTATAGTTATAGCATAAGGCCTGTTAACATTTCAACAGGAAATTGTTGCAGTTATCAATATTATCAACTCTGGAATGCAAAATCTATTTAGGAAACCAACTTCCGTGCAAGTAAAATATTTCTACATAAAAATAGGATCACTCACTCATGGAGCTGAGCCCTTCTTGAGATGGCGCCAGTTGTGCAGCTACTCATTACCGTGTTCACAAGAGCCCTCCACTGACCTCTAGGATTATTTTTATATTGCTAGTGGGGTGGGACTAAGTCCCTTGTACTGCGGCCACTTCTGGCCTATTGTACCAGCCCCAGATGATAGGTGAGGGTGATTGTAGAGCAATTGGTGGAACGAAGATTGGCAAGGGAAACCGAAGTACTCGGAGAAAACCTGCACCAGCGCCACTTTGTCCACCACAAATCCCACTTGACCAGATCCGGGCTCGAACCCGGGCCGCCGCGGTGGGAAGCCAGCGACTAACCGCTTGAGCTTTAGCGCAGCCGACCCCTAAGATAGTACCTAAAAATAGACCACGACCGCCTCTCTCTAAATCCTTATCTGCGCACCATTCACGAACATCTTCGAAGGGGATATGTTAGTCTGGTAGATCGTTGCCATTGTCTGAGGGGAACGCGATGGCTAGTCGAAGTCACTTTACGACTGACAATCTGTCTCGGTGTCAAACTTTCTTTGACTTCATGATCACATTTTAAGCCTCAAGTCTGACTATTAGAGAGTCACAGTCGCGATGGGGAAGTCGAGAGTGGGGAAAATTCTATGGACCCGAGCTCAGGATGCGTTACGTCCGGCTCGCTCAGCTGACTCGACTCGTCCTGGCACCCGACCAGAATATGAAGCACAGCGAGATATATTCTACTTCAATGCCATCTGTATGAGGAGGAAAGGAGTGCAGAATGTGTTCCACGCACAGCAGGACATTGCTTACCCACTGAGAAACCTAGACAGTTTGCAAAACAATGGCGCATAGATCGCCCTTGGTTTGGTGTTCGTAGTCCCTCCACTGCACTGCACTGTGGTTACTAGCCTAACCATTTGCTCCATTGTTCTCTCAGCCAAAACAGGGCCGTAGAGTACTGCTGGTCTTCTAACTAACCCAGTAATGCTTGGCTTCGAACCCCGATGGGACATTATTTTAAGAATAAAAAACAAAACAAAACAAACTCCATGGTTTTAGTCCGCAAGCCAACTATACGGCCGCCTCTGTGGTCTAATGGTCAGAGTTTCTGGCTGCAGATCCATATGTCCGGGTTCGATTCCCGGCGCTACCAGATTTTCTGAGAAGTAGTGGATTTGGAACGGTGTCCAGTCAACCTAGTGAGGATAACTGAGGAGTTATTTCAAGGAAATGGCGGCTCCGGCCTAGAAAACCGAAATTAACGGCCGTGGGGATTCCTTGCGCTGACCACGCGACACCCTCTATCCGCTAAAGTTGGCACTAACTTCGCCGACAAGCGGAGGTCGCTCGATCTGTTATTTTAAGAACAGGCATTTGAAATTTAGAAAGTGTGGCCTCCAGTTCATCAAAAAGAGCAGCTGGTCGTTAATTTCACAGATACATAAGAGGGCTGGACAGGACCATGCGTGTACAAGAGGATTAAAGAAATAGGGGAAGTTCGGGAGAAACAGAGCAAAGAAACAGTAGTATTTTAAGAGCAGAGCTAGCAGGAAAACGGATAAAGCACGGACAAGGGGCAGGTGGGAGGAAAATGAGGAAACCGTGGACAGAAAGGATAAACTAAATAAAATAGGGCTTAGGAGGAAGCAAACCCTAGTAAGAGTAGTGCCATATCTCGCATGGCATCTGCCTTCCTAGTTATACAAGGCCTGGATCTAAAATAGCCGGGTTAAGTAGTTCAAGCAATCAAGAGAAGGCCGCAACATTCGCCAAACACCTCTCCAAGGTCTTCAAACCTTTCGACACTGAGACCACACAAGAAGAAGAATACGAAATCAACAACTTCCTAGATGCACCCTATCAGATGAATCTACCAATGCGAAACTTCAAATATAAAGAAGTGGAAACGGTCATCAAAAAAGAAATCAACCCCAAAAAAGCTCCTGGATTCGAC